GCTTTGAGGCGATTCTGGTCCAACATGCGGTGTCTCGGGGGGGGTTCACCACCAATACTGTTTGCGGGGTGTTTATGTTTATAGGTGGGTAGAATACYTCTGAGACCCCCTCAATCCCACCAGCACATCTTCCAATGAGGAAGCAGAGCCTAGGGACCCTGCGTTACGTTATCCRATCTCTGGTGCTGAGGTCATTGAGGTGCTTAAAAGCTCCCCTGTGGCAGGGCTCTGGGGATGGATGAGTTTAAGTATCTCGGGGGTTTGTTCACAAATGAGGGAAGAATGGAGCGGGAGATAGACGGACTGATGATGCATCTGCAGTGATGCGGGCGCTGTGTCGATGTGGTGAAGCAAGAGCTGAGCCAAAAKACAATGCTCTAAATTTACTGGTCGATCTACAGTATCTTCCTACCCTCATCTATGGTCATGAGCTTTGGGAAAATGGATGGATGAAAAATCTAATGAATAATAGAGTTATTTTTTTATAAATTACAGGAAACCTCCACTAAACGTTATAAATATGTGGTTGCGGGTCACGGCAAGTATACAAAGGTTTCTGCTGATAATGTCTGCAGTGAAGATGTCAGCTGTCAGTCAGGTAAGAATGCTTCTTTATTACCCAATATAATTTGAAGCAAAAAATTACTGTGGAAGTAAATTCATACATTTTGACTGAACACATATTATTAAATATTTTCTTACTAGAAAGCAGATTAGATTTTAACACAAGGTGATTAATCTCTGACTTCAACATTGTTACAGCTACAGTTTGCATTTTATTTTATAGTAATGCTGAGAATTAACAAACAGTTTGGTATGTTGGGTAAAAACACACATAGACTTTGAAATCTGAGATAATTATTTGTTTTTCTTCAGGTTTCTATTGGTATTTTTATTTTAATGGATAGAAATAAATTAGTACAATGCATAAGTTACAAAACAATTAGCAAATCACTGAAGTGAAAATGAATTTGATCACCAGCAACCCAGCTAGAAAATCTGACTACTACAAATTAGTTATTGGATCAYATAGCACACAATGAACGAAAGAATGAATGAATCTATCAGTATAAAGACTAGTTTATTCTGTTTCAACCTCTCCATCAACATGG